TCGAATTTGGTTTTAATGAATTCCATTTTTTTAATTAATTAATTTTATATTTCTGCAACTCCCCTTTGTGTTATCTTGTCCGGATCTAAGAAAATATTAATTTTTCCCTCACTTCCCTGTGGATACGACCCGTTCTCACCCATTTACTATGTTAGTAGTTGTTTGAGAATCGGTAAAATTCTATAAATGTTTAAACTGGCGTTCCGGAGTGTTTAACAACGTGCTTCCGGACACACCAGAAGCGTAGAATTGTTGGAAGACGTCCGTTTGGTAGATCCAGATTACGGGATTCTTTCCACCAACAAAAGTTTTGAGGCTTGACGAGGAAGAAATTTACCGCAAAACCAGTTCACAAATCTCTCTAACTCCACTCCCTTGCCAAATCCAGATTTTTCTTCTTGCTTCTATCATTATCGTGACTCACCTTCTCACTGCCACCCTTGTTGTCCTTGTGTTCCAGGTTCAGGTGGCCAGATATCCCAACCCAATGGCTTTCCCAAACAAAGGTGATTATGTGGAGGTTTCGGGTCCAACATCAATGTCTAAGGAATTGGTTAGTCGACCTAGGAGGGAATAAGATATTGATGAAGCCACAGAGATGGCCAAAAAATTAGGTCTCCAGCAATGTGAATCTGGCAAGGCCTCCGCTAAAGAATGGAACAACATAAGAGGTAAGGGAGTTGATCGAGAGTTATCAGGAACAAAGAAAAAGTTGAAAAAGGGACCGAGTAGGGAATTAAAGAGGCTACAATGGGGTATAGCTGATCAAAATTTGGAATATGCAGGAGAAGGGAGTAGAAGAATAGGTAAGGGTAAGACAAACAGAGTTTTAAGATGAAGATCCTGAGCTGGAATGTAAGGGGGCTGGGTGGTGAAATAAAGAGAAGCTTAGTAAAATATACCCGTCGAAGAGAGAATCCTGACATTATTCTGATACAAGAAACCAAAAAAGAAGAGGTGGACAAGAAGTTAATTAGAGCAATATGGGGTTTAAGAGGCAGAAATTGGGCTGCCCTTCCAGCCATAGGCACTTCAGGAGGGATCCTTGTCATGTGGAGAGAAGACGTGGTTTCAGGAGTGGAAGTAGATAGAGGCGAATTCTCCCTTTCAATACTTTTCACAAACAAAGCAGATGGTTTCACCTGGATTCTAACAACAGTTTATGGCCCTAATGATCCATCAAATAGGAGTAGGTTTTGGGAAGAGCTGGATTCCTTGCATGAACATGATGAGTTTCCCTGATGTGTGAGAGGAGACTTCAATGTCACGAGATTCAATCAGGAACACTCAAAGGGGAAGAGGGTAAATAGAAGCATGAGGGAGTTCTCCAATTTTATTTCCAGACACAGGCTGCATGACCTCCCATTAAGGAATGGTAACTTTACCTGGTCGAACATGTAGGAGAATGCCTTGAGTTGTAGGCTTGATAGATTTCTAATTACTTCAGATTGGGAAGCCCATAACCCCCTGACCTTTCAGGATATCCGCTCCCGATGTAACTCGGATCACTGGCCTATCCCTTTAAGTACAGATTTGGAGATTAAAGGGAAAACCCCTTTCAGGCTGGAAAAATTTTGGATGGAACACAAAGACTTCTGCAAAAAGGTTGCCTCATGATGGGAGGAATGTAAGACAGAAGGTTGGCCAGGGTATAGATTTTTGGAAAAATTAAAATTTGTAAAAAGTTAAAAGAATGGGCCAAAGAGGAATTTAAAGCCTTTAAGGAAGAGAAATCAGCACTCTTATCTGAGTTGGATGATTTAGACCAAAAGGAGCAGATTGGTCATCTAGATGAGAATGAAAGAAGGAGAAGATTTGGGCTAAGAAAAGAATGGGAAAAGGTAGTATGGAGAGAAAGTTTACTGGAGACAAAGATCTAGGGTCAGATGGTTAAAAGAGGGGGACAATAACTCTGGGTTCTTCCATATATATGCATCTGGTAGGTGGAAAAGAAATATTATAACAAAATTAAAAATTGGGCAACGAGAAGTGGAGGACCTTGAGGAAATTTCTGAAGCTTTCTTATTGTTGAGTTGGGCCGATTTCTAGTTATTGGGCCCAGTTATTTATTTCTTATTTTTAAGTTGTTAAGTTAGGAAGTTGTTGGGCTTTAGGCCCATTAGTTTATGTTTTTAAGTTGTAACTGTTCAGCTACTTAAGTAGCCGCCCTACTGAGGGCATTCTTGTAATCTCTTATTCTTTTAAGTTGAGTATATAATACAAAGAGAGGTTGGCGGCCAGAACCAATTCAATTCTGGTTAACATCCTACTCCTTTTCTTCTCTACTGCTGAAACTCTTCACCTTCTTCTTTCTCTTCACAAGGAATTTATCTAAAACTGCAATAAGTGATTTCTACTTGGTATCAGAGCAGGCCGAAGGTTCCTTGAGCTGTCCTATCATGCAGCCCTAGATCGGTTGACTGCATGGTGATTTAAGAGGTTGGTCGAAGATCTCAGGTAAGCCCAGTTTTTGGTGGATCTGTTTGCCCTGTAGCTCTAGGGTTTCCCATCAAAATCAGGAGAAACTGAAGAAAAGGGGAGAGTCCTGTTTCTGTTGGACTCTTCAATTTTGACCTAGGAAGTGGCGCCCTAATTTTTTAGGGTTCCTTGGAGCTTTCTAAGGGGGGCGGTTCAAGTCCTACCTGTTTTAGAGGTTTTTGGAGAGAGCGGTTATCTCTTCTCTCTCTTCTCCTATCCCGCAGAAAAGGAATCTTTTATGGAAGGGCCATCTAGGGCACCAAAAGGGTGTCGTTGGTACCAAAAGTGATTTATTTGATATTCTTGCATATTACAATAACCTTTTACCCCCTTTTTAATAATTATGGAGGGTAACGGAGTTGAAAACAAGCCCGAGAGTGAAATGAGACCAGCGGGAGGTGTCGGAGGCCTTCTCGGGGCTAGAACCATTACTACAGTTAAGTTGGATGGTTCAAATTACTTAGAATGGTCACGATCTGCAAAGATGGCCATTGGTGCTCGTAGGAAGTTAGGGTATATCACTAGTGAAGAAGTGAAACCTGAAACTAACAACTCCCGGTGGGTACAAGAAAACTATATGGTGATGACTTGCCTGTGTAATTTGATGCTGCCCCATATAGGTAAAAATTTTTTGTGGGCAAATACAACTAAGGAAATATGGGATGGGGTTGCAGAAACCTATTCACAGAGGGAGAATGTTGCTAGGACTTATCAGTTGAGAAGTCGGATTATTGCTACAAGGCATGGAGATAGACCTATTGCTGTTTACTTTTCAGC